TCATCTATAAAACAGGGATTATATCAGAACCTGTATGATGGGAATTTTGTAAGGATTAAACAAGATAACGTAGATAGTGCTGAACACACAAAATATAAATCATAATGAGTGCTCATTGGTATGTATTCTTATGTTTAAATCCTACACACTAAAATTGTAATCTTCAGATAGATGGAACTTTTAAGAATATTCTAATGCAGAAACATTACTTGGACTTCTACGAAGTTTTTTTTTTTGCTTTTGCTTTTATTTCTTTATTTTTTTTATTTTAGCATATTATGGGGGTACAGATGTTCAGGTTATGTATGTTGCCCTTCCCCCCCCAAGTCAGAGCTTCAAGCGTGTCCATCCCCCAGATGGTGCACATCACACTCATTATGTATGCATATACCCATCCCCTCCTCCCCCCTCCCACCTGCCCAACACCCAATAAATGTTATTCTTATATGTGCACTTAGGTGTTGATCAGTGAAACCAATTTGATGGTGAGTACATGTGGTGCTTATTTTTCCATTCTTGGGATACTTCACGTAGTAGAATGGGTTCTAGCTCTATCCAGGAGAATACAAGAGGTGCTATATCACCATTGTTTCTTATAGCTGAATAGGACTCCATGGTATACATATACCACATTTTATTAATCCACTCATGTATTGATGGGCACTTGGATTGTTTCCACATCTTTGCAATTGTGAATTGTGCTGCTATGAACATTCGAGTTCAGGTGTCTTTTTTATAGAGTGACTTTTGTTCTTTTGAGTAGATGCCCAGTAATGGGATTGCTGGTTCAAATGGTAGTTCTACTTGTATGTCTTTAAGGTATCTCCATATTGCTTTCCACAGAGATTGCACTAGTTTGCAGTCCCACCAGCAGTGTATGAGTGTTCCTATCTCTCCGCATCCATGCCAACATTTATAGTTTTGGGACTTTTTGATAAAGGCCATTCTCACTGGAGATAAATGATATCTCATTGTGGTTTTGATTTGCATTTCCCTGATGATTAGAGATGTTGAGCATTTTTTCATATGTTTTTTGGCCACTTTTCTGTCTTCTTTTGAAAAGTTTCTGTTCATGTCCTTTGTCCACTTTTTGATAGGGTTGTTTGATTTTTTCTTGCTGATTTTCCTGAGTTCTAAATAGATTCTGGTTATCAGCCCTTCATCAGATGTATAGCATGCAAAAATTGTCTCCCATTCTGTAGGTTGTCTGTTTGCTCTTGTGACAGTTTCTTTGGCTGTGCAGAAGCTTTTTAATTTGTTCAGGTCCCATTTATTTATTTTTATTGTCTTCTTCATAAATTCTTTGCCTAGGCCAATGTCTATAAGGATTTTTCCAACATTTTCTTCTGGAATCCTAATCGTTTCACATCTTAGGTTTAAGTCTGTTACCCCGCGTGAGTTGATTTTTGTGAGAGGTGAAAGGTGTGGATCCTGTTTCAGTCTTCTACATGTGGCTATCCAGTTTTCCCAACACCATTTATTCAATAAGGATCCTTTTCCCCAGTGTATGTTTTTATCTGCTTTGTCAAAGATTAGATGGCTATACGAGGATGGTTTTATATCTGGGTTCTCAGTTCTGTTCCACTGGTCAATGTCCACTGGCACAATGTTCTTGTGCCAGTACCAAGCTGTTTTCATTACTATAGCCTTGTAGTATAGTTTGAAGTCCAGTAGATTGATACCTCCCATTTTGTTTTTATTGCCTAGGATTGCTTTTGCTATATGGGGTCTTCTCTGGTTCCATACGAAGCGTAAAATTATTTTTTCTATATCCATAAAAAATGATGTTGGTATTTTAATAGGCATTGCATTGAATCTGTAGATCACTTTGGGTACTATAGACATTTTAACAACATTGATTCTGCCAACCCACGAGCATGGTATGGTTTTCCACCTGTTTACGTCCTCTGCTATTCCCTTCCTCAGTGTTTCATAGTTCTCCCTGTAGAGGTCTTTTACCTCCTTAGTTAAATATACAAAGTTTTTTTTTTTTTAATGGGATTTTATCTTTACTGTATGATGACAAACACATTACTACATTAATTTTTACCATAAATGCCAAACTATTTCGTATTTGAATACAATGGGCATTTTTGTGCCAGATATTTTTAATCATATTAAACAAGCATAATTCTTTTTGGGTTCCTCTCGGCTAATTTAAATGAATAGCCTGACTAAATCAGCAGAGCTGTTTACTGTGTGAGTAAGTGGAAGAGAGCAAAAATAAAGGAGACAATTTTAAAAAGGAAAAAAGACAAAGAACCGTAACAATGTGAGCTATGTTAATTCTCCTGAAGATTTGTCCTTTGCCCCAGTGTTCTCCGGTTGGTGAGGGGAAAATAGTTCGTTTTTTTTCTTATTATTTTTCCTGTAAAATAGTTTTTATGTCAGGGTCATCTTCAGAGATAGGAGGCTTCTGCCTGGTTCCAAGAGGAAAGGAGAAGAGCTCTTCTAAGGTTTGGGCCTTTGTCTCCAGTTTTTAGTCACCAACTTGATAATGCTGGTTGAAACCTTCTGCTTTCTGTTCTTGAACTTGTTATGACAGAAATTCCCACCCCCCTGCCGCTGTGGTTTGTGCTCCTGGCTCACAGACTTTGATCAGTCTGCTCATAGTCTGAGGGTATGGCAGGGCGTGGGTGGAGGTTGATGACGTTGCTCTTAAGTGAGTGTGTGAAGGGTGAAGAGTCAATAAAGCTGTATGTGGGTGAAGGGGTGAAGGGTGGGGAGAGGCCGTTCAGCTTCACTTTGTTCCTTCTTTTCATTTCATCTCCTTTTAAGCTCCCATGCTGAAAGCAAGTTTTATTTTCCTGATTGTCCTAGGTCAAATATTCTTGGTTTTTTCCTCAAACTCCTGGGGTCAAGGAATCCTCCCACCTCAGCCTCCTGGGTAGTTAGGGCTACAGGCACACACCACCAAGCCTGGCTGATGTTTTTACTGAGACAGGGTCTCACTGTGTTGCCCATACTGGTCTTGAACTCCTGGCCTCAAGCGATCCTCTGGCCTCGGCCTCCCAAAATGCTGGGATTACAAGCATGAGCCACTACACCCGGCCCAACATCAAGTAGTCCATTGAAGTCATCTAGTTTGGAAGCCCAGAGGCTCAGTGTCTGCTTCACCAGACTGGAGCTGGCAAGGTGGAATTTCCTAGAGATCTAGACATTTAGGACCCTGGACCCATCTCACCTGCTACCACGTCCATTGCCCTGCTGAACCTAAGCCCACAGCTGTGTCTAGAATAACAGACTACCTTTGGGCCACACACTCTCCTGAAAGGTTGAAGAATTAACTCATCCTCACAACAGTCCCATGAAAGGTTACAGATGATTAAGTAACTTGTCCAAAGAAATATAGCTAGTAAGTGGCAAAATGAAACATTCACACGCAGTTTGGCTCTTGAGCGAGCTTTCAGCAACTATCCTTTCCTGCTTCCCAGCCACTTTCTTTTCCTCATTCTCCAGTAGTGTTTGGTGGCATTTTATTTAATCTGCAGGTATATTCTCCAAACGGTTTATCATCATGGGATGTCTGCAGCCAAGATTGCGAAGCAGAGAGGAGCTGTCCCAACCTTCTTGTACCACTGATGCTGGAGAGTTCATACATTTGGTATTGAACTGAAGTCTCTCCATCCTTCACCTTGTTTGTTGATGCCTTCTATAGCAAATTGGAAAAGCCACTGACAGAAAAAGCCAGTAGTAGTTCGGGTCAGAGAGTGACAACTGTGGTTTGGAGAAAAGGACTGTGTGGTGGCTGTAGAGAACCTGTCTTGCTGCTGCTTTTTTCTCCCACTCCACCCCCCTTTTATTGTGCATTCATTCATTCATCACACATTCATTGAGCAGCTGGCCTGTGTCAGGCTCTGTGCTAGCTCTGGAGAAGCCTGCCCTTGAGTAGCTCACAGTGCAGTGGGAGAGACAGTTATCACACTACGATAAGCACTGGGTGATGGGGTCACACAAAGGAGTGGCTCCTAATCCAGACTGATGAGGCCAAAAAAGGCATGCAGGTGAGGGTGAGGTCAGAGCTAACTGAGGGGTGAGGAGGAGCTACACCTGCAGGGGTTGGAACTGAAGGTGACAGTACCTGGGGTCCTGAATCTTCAGCAGAGGGAAAGCAGGCTGTCCAAAGGCACTGAAGGTGGGAGTGGGCAGAGCATGTTGAGGAACTTAAGGTAGTTCTGGATGGCCCTGGGGCAAAGCCAGAGAGGTAAGAAGGATGTACAAGGCTGGGCTTGGTGGCTCACACCTGTAATCCCAGCACTCTGGGAGACCGAAGCAGAAGGATCACTTGAGGTCAGGAGTTGGAGACCAGCCTAAGCAAGAGCAAGACCCCGTCTTTACTAAAAATACAAAAAGAGAAAAATTATCTGGGCACGCATGCCTGTAGTCCCAGCTACTCGGGAGGCTGAGGCAGGAGAATCACCTGAGGTCAAGAGTTTGAGGTTGTAGTGAGCTATGATGCTGCCACTGCACTCTACCCAGGGCAACAGAGTGACATTCTATCTCAAAAAAAATTGGATCTACAGACTCTCCTCGTCTTATGATGGGGCCACATACCGATAAACCCATTAGTCAAAAATATCTTCAGTTGAAAATGCGTTTAATACCCTGATAAACCCATCCTAAAGTCAAACAATTATAAGTGGAACCATCCTAAGTCCAGATGCTCCTCGACCCCCAATGGGGCCAGGTCCCAATAAACTCATTGCAGAGTCAAAAAATCTTAAGTCTAATCCATTGTAAGTCAGGGACCATCTGTAGATTATGAAGGTGCTTTGATGCTGTGCTGTAGAGTATGGGTTTATCTTGGGGGCTATGGAGAATCCCTGGAGGGTTTTGAGCAGGCAGGTGACATCAGATCTGCTTTTCAAAAGCTCATTCTGGCACTTGTGTGAAGAAATCAGAGGGCAACAAGACCCCAGGCAGGCAAACAAGGCTGGGGTCTGCGATAGAGATTGATACATAGCTGGATCTCAGAGGGTCTCTGTTTCTTATTATTGCAGTTGTGAGTACAGAGGTGCTCAGAGCCCAAGAAGAATGGGAAGCTGTGGAGACCATCCAGCCACAGACAGGTAACTGCAGGAATGGCACTGTCTCCACACGGCCTCGCTGCCAGCAAAGGCACCATCCACACGTGTGGCTGATGTTTCTGTGACTCTGGGATCAGGAGACAGAATTCCTGAGAGCTCTTTTTAGCTATGTAATGTAGAATAAAGTCTCTTTTTCAAACCCAAAGATGATGACACGTCACCTCTGGAGGAATCGGGAATGAATGCGGGGGAAAGGGTTGCCATCCCTGCCCGTCTTCCAGCCAGCCTTGAGAGGAGACAGGGAGGACCCTGGTCAGGGTCAGCTTCTGCAGGGTGATGAGGTCAAGCAGGAGGAAGGAGGCAGGTGACCAAGGCACCTGCACAAGGCTGCTCAGGTTGTTCACTGTACTAGGAAGTCCCTCGGGATAGGTGTGAAGCCATCTGCTGGAAGGCCCTGATGCTGGGTAAAAATTGTCTCATGTTTCTTTCTGAGAGTTTTAGATGGAGCTACAGGAGGGTAGAACTAGGACCTGTGTCTCTGCTGAGCCCCACTTGAGCTCCTGGAAAGATGTTACAGTGAATGGTATCAGCCATCACCCCTTTTGCTAACTGATAAGTTAATTTTCTGTGGGCTATAACAGAGCTCACTCTGGCATGTGGAGGTCATATACAGGGTGCGATAAGGGGAAAAGTGGAAATTAGGAAGGGCCCCTCAACAAGCTGGTGGCATGCTCCTACATGGGTACTTACCCGAGGCAGTGACTCGCCCCCTCACAGATGGGTAGAATTTAGGGAGCCCCTTGCAGGGCAGATGAGTCCCACACTCACTGCAGAGGTCGGCCTAGCAAGAGCGGATAGCCTAGTCCAAAAAGACAGTCAGCCCAGCAGACAATGCCAGCCCCTTGAAAGAGGAATGGTTATAGCCGTAGGTGTCTGATGTTCAGCTGGAAACCAGCTCTTGGCTTGGAGGTGACAACCAGGAGGCCCTCAGTAAATGTTCGCTGACAGAATGAGTACCATTACAAATCCTGGAGTGTCTTCCCTTTTGCCACAGAGAGCCGGGCCAGCTCTGCACAGGCTGGGCAGCTAATCTCCTTCAGTGAGGCCCTGCAGCACTTCCAGACTGTGGACCTCTCCTCCTTCAAGGTATGGTGGTAGGGAGATTTGGGGTCTTGAGCAAAGCACCTTCTTGGCAGGAGCCAGGCTTCCATTCTACCAGGATAGGGCACTGGGCAAGCAAGATGGAAGCTTCCAGTTGAGGGCCTTAACTTACCTAAGGTCTTGGGGCCAGGCTCACGGGTGGCCTAGGACGCATGCTTCATGCAGGGCTCTGGTAACCTCTGTGGGACTGTGCCCATAAAGCTCTTCACCCTGCCATTCTGTAGCTGGTCCTCTATTGCGCCTTCTTAGGGCTGAGGAGGTCTGGCATCAAGTACTAGGTAGTTCAGTGGGGAGACAAGGCAACCTGTCCAGGGAGCGGAGTAATTGGTAGAAAATGGAAGAAAATCTTCCCTCAAGGAGCCAGAAGGTATTTGGGAATTTAAGAAAGATAAGAAGTTGGAAAAAGAAGGACTGTTGGGAAGAATAAAAGGCGGGGGCTTTCTGGGACATCTTGAGTGACCAGTAGGGAGTTTAGAGGAATATTATTTCAGGTCTTCAACCTAAAACCTGGCTTGAGAGAGACACTGAAAAGGAATCGGGTTGTTATATAGGACCCAGTGAGCCCAAAGCTACCAAAATGAGAATATTCTAAAGCCTGCAGCAGTGGCCCTGAGCCATGAGAAGCCACCATGACCTAGTTTAGGAAGAGCTAGTTGTGGCCAGAAGACTCCAGCTACCCCTCAGAGGCAGCTGACTCCAGTGAGTCCCCACTGGCTCTGTAATCCTGGAAGTTGAGAGGGCTGTCAGATGTTGTCATTTATGTCCTTTACACACACACAGAGGCAGAGACAGACAGAGAGAGTCATACAGTGGGGTAGAACAGCCCTCTGGGAAGCAGACCTGGCATTTATCTGACTGTGGCGGGGAGTTCCTCTAGCTGGGCATCTGTAGCCTCCATGGTAGTCAGTGGAGGAGCTAGTTCTGGAAAAGCCCAAAAGTCTAAATGCGGGAGACTAGCTGGTAATGCCTATGCCAAAGAGACCTTTGCAAGACCTCTCTTTAACCTTGCAAAGAACCTGGGAGCTGGAAGAGCCTGTCTCCAGAGACTCAACAGGGACTTCACAGCTACCACCCCATTTTCCTGCCCAAAGACCAGCTGGTTGGCTGGAGGAACTGCCTCTGTCTGCACAAACTGCCCGTGGTCTGAGCGTGATGGTAAGTTCATTAAGGCTGATGAACGCAGCGGTCTGCCCATTGCCTGCAACTTTCTCCTCAGAAAAGAATCCAGCCAACTATTCGAAGGACTGGGCTCGCCGCTCTCCGGCACTTCCTCTTTGGGCCTCCAAAGCTCCACCAGGGCCTTTGGGAAGAAAGGGACTTCTTGCTGACCATTGCTCAGTGTGAGTGCATGGGGGCTGCCGCAGGGCACGTGTGCATATGTGGTCAGGCAGAGAGCACTGTTGGCCCACCTTGTTACTGAGACTAAGCCAGGGGTCTCACATATTCCATGTTGTAGGGGGTAGCTGGGAGGCAAGAGTGGGAGCTGAGAACGGGGTGTCTTGAGCACAGTCCAGATCTAACATTCTTCGACAAGCACGCTGTCCTCCCCTGAGGGGCAGTGTGGCAGAAAGTATGGATGTGTTTTGGGGCAGGTGGCCTGGATAGCCAAGACCCAATGCACGGCCGAGTCCTCCAGACCATCTACAAGAAGCTGACCGGCTCCAAGTTTGACTGCGCCCTCCACGGAGACCACTGGGAGGACCTGGGCTTTCAGGGTAAGAGGGAAGAGTGGTTCATCTCTTTCTTGCCCCTGAATCCAGGACTTGAGTGAGAGGCCAGGTCGTCCTCTTCCAGGCATGCCGGCGCTGTGAGGTGGGATACTGGGGGAAAGCTCTTCAGGAGCAGGGGCAGCACGTGCACAGACGCTGGCGTGAAACACGCTTGCTGTGTTTGAGAAATGGCAAAGACTGTGGCTGATGTGGAGATGAGAGTGACAGGAGAAAAGATCAGTTTGCGGCCCTGCAAGCTGTTTTAAGACATTTACCCTAAGTGAGATGGAAAGCACTGGAGTGATTTGATTTAGTGATCTGGTTTCTTTGGGTTTTTTCCTCTTTTTTAAAAATATTGATGAAAGTTTCATTATATATTATTTTATTTTTTGAATGAAACAAATAGGTTTCCTCTGTTTTTGGACTGCACTTTTTTTTTAAATCATATCAAATACATTTGTACAGAATAGGAAAATATTAGGTTATTAAATATGGAATGTCCAGTTTCCTTAAGTGTTAACTTTGATAGTTGATATCTCTGGCATTTCACTTTGACACTTCTTGTTTTGTTTTTTTTTTTTTTTATTGTGAAGGTACATCCTCATTCTTTCAAATGCACATATGGCTTGTGATTATCCTTCACATTTTTTGGTAGAGCAATTTTTGTGAAACCACGGATAAGTCAAAAATTCGTGTTATTTTTGAATATGAGTTGCATTGTGGAACCAATGCAGCACAGACAGCTCAAAATATCAACGAAGTGTTTGGGAAGGATGTGGCTAATGAACGCATAGTACATCAATGGTTTGAGAAGTTCCATTCTGGTGATTTTAATCTTGAAAATGAGCCACGTGGGTGACCTGAGACCAAAGTGGATAATGAGGAGCTGAAAGCTGTAGTGGAAGCCAATCCATCTCAACCTATTCGTGAATTAGCAGCAAGGTTTGAGGGTACTATTCCAACAACATTGGACCATTTGAAACAAACTGGCAAGGTAAAGAAGCCTGGATAGAAGGGTTCCATGTGAATTAAATGAGCGTCAGAAGGGAAATCGTCCTGAAGCTTGCCTTTCTTTGCTGTCATGACATAAAGGCAAACCACTTCTACACCCTATTGTTACATGCGATGAAAAATAGACTCTTTTGACAATCACAAGTGTGGACACAATAGTTGGATAAAGATGAAGTGCCAAAACACAGTCCAAAATTGAGCCTTCATCAAAAATGTAATGGTGTCTGTTTGGGGTCCAGCACTGGTATTATCCACTACAGCTTCATGAAACCTGGTCAGTCAATTACAGCGGATGTCTCCTACAACCAGTTGGATGAAATGATGAGGATACTTGCAATTAAACAGCCAAGATTGGTCAATAGAGACAGGCCAATCCTCTTGCAAGACCACTACGTTGCACAAACAATGCTGCTCAAACTACAGAAGCTGGCCTTGGAAGCTGTCATCCACCATATTCACCAGACCTTGCACCAATTGACTCCGACTTCTTCCAGGCTTTAGAGCACTTGTTTCAAGGAAAAATATTCACTTCTTAACAAGCTGCGGAAAATGCCTTTTGCGATTTCATAGCTACTCACTCTCCAGGCTTCTTCATTGCTGGCATAGGAAGTTACTATTAAGATGGAAAAACTGTGTTGATAGTTTAGGCACATACTTTGATTAATGGTACAGTTTCTTGTTTGAGATATAATAAACTACATTTTTGATTCGAAATCAGACATTTCATATTTAATGACCTAATTTTGATTTTGGAGACAGAGTTTCACTCTATCACCCTGGCTAGAGTGCAGTGGTGTCATCACAGCTCACTGACTGCAACCTTAAACTCCTGGGCTCAAGCGATCCTCCTGCCTCAGCCTCCTGAGTAGCTGGGACTACAGGTGTGCACCACTACACCTGGCTAATTTTTTCTATTTTTAATAGAAATGGGGTCTCGTTCTTGCTCAGGCTGGTCTCAAACTCCTGAGCTCAAGCTATCCTCCAGCCTCTGCCTCCCACAGTGCTAGGATTAGAATAGGAAAGCATCTTAATTTCAAAAGGAAACCTTGGCCAGGTGCAGTGGCCCATACCTAGAATCCTAGCACTCTAGGAGGCTGAGCCAGGGGAGTTACTTGAGGCCAGGAGTTTAAGACCAGCCTGAGCAACACAGACCTCATCTCCACAAAAAAAATTTTTAAAAAACAAATAAAAGAAGATTTTACATACCCATACTTAATTGTTAGTCTGTTGTTACTAGATTGGGTTTGAGTCCTGTATGTCCCTCATCTATAATGTAATTGTCTTAAATGTATCCTTTCTATATATCAAGAATCATACCAAACAATGTTATGATTTTTGTTTAAACTATCAAACATAATTTTAAATACTCTGGAGGAGAAGGAAGGTCTGTTGTATTTACTCATATATTTACTCTTTCCACTGTTCTTTCTTCCTTCCTGATATTCCAAGTTTCTCTCTTTTATCATTTCTTTCCATTTCAAGAACTTCCCTAGCCGTTCTCTCAGGGTAGGTTTCCTGGCCATAAATTCTCTTACTTTTCCTTCGTCTGAGAATGTCTTGATTTCCCTTTCACTCCTGAATTCTCTGGACACAGAATTCGAGACTGACAGTTCTTTTCTTTCAGCACTTGAAAATGTACTACTTCCTTCTGGTCTGGGTGGTTTCTGATGAGAAATCTTCTGTCATTTGAATTCTCTCTGCCTTATAGGTGAGGAGTTGTTTTTCTGTCTATCTGCTTTCAAGATCTTTTCTTTGTCTGTAGTTTCTAGGAGTTTGATTGTAATGTGTCATTGTGTGGATTGTGTGGATTTCTTTTTTTTTTTTAAAGATGGGATCTCACCCTGTCACCCAAGCTAGAGTGCAGTGGTGCGATCATACCTCACTGTAGGCTCAAACTCCTGGGCTGAAGCGATCCTCCTGCCTCAGCCTCCCAGGTAGCTGGGCCTATAGGCACATGCTACCACACCTGGCTAATTTTTTTTTTTCTCATTTTTTGTAGAGACAGGGTCTCACTGTGTTGCCCAGGCTGGTCTCGAACTCCTGGGCTCAAAAAATCCTCCCGCCTCAGCCTCCCAAAGTGCTGGGATTACAGGCATGAGCCACTACACCCAGCCTATTGCATGGATTTCTTTGGACTTAATCCTGTTTGGGGTTAGCTCAGCTTCTTGAATTTGTAGATTTCTGTCTTTTGCCAAATTTGGTAAATTTTCAGCTGTGATTATTTTGAATACTTTCTTCAGCCCCTCACTGTCTCCTCTCTTGTGGCACTCTGATGACACGAATGCTAGATCTTTGTTCATTTTTAAAATCTTTATTACAGCCTCGTAGATCTCTAAGGCTCTGTCCATTTTTGTTTTTGTTTTCTCTGCCTCTGTTGTTCAGATTGAGTAATTTATATTGTTTCATCTTCGAGTTCACTAGTCTTTCCTCTGTTGTCTCCATTTTCCTTCTGAGCCCACCCAGTGAGTTTTTAGTTTTAGTTATTGCATTTTCAGTTCTAAAGTTTCCACATGGTTCTTCTTTGTTGCTGCTATTTCTGTGCTGAGACTTTCAATCTTTTCATTTTTTTCAAAGTGCATTTGTTCATAATAGCTATTCAAAGGCATTTTATGACAGCTGCTATAGTAGTTTTCTGTCATTGCTGTAACAAATTATCACAAACTTAGTGGTTTAAAGCAACACAGATTTACTTATTATCTTACAGTTTCCTAGTACAGAAGTGTCACAGGTCTCACTGGGGTGAGATCAGGGTGTCCACAGTGCCACATTCCTTTTTGGAGGCTCGAGGAGAGAATCCATTTCCTTCCTTTTGCAGTTTCTAGCGGTCACCTTCATTTCTCTGTCTTCAACGTCAGAAAGAGCAGCTGTCTCACCCTGATTCTGTCCCCACTTCTCTTTCTCTGGCTCTGTGCTTCTTTCCCTCTTCTACTTTTTTTTTTTTT